GCCTCTGAAATTAGGTGTGATAGGGCCCTTTCAGAGTAGAATTCCTCAGTATTTGGTTGGTCAAAATAATGGAAAGTGCACTCCTTGAGAAAGTTCTGTAAGAATCTTTGTATAAAGCAGCTTCCTTTTCCTGAAGAATCACTTAGGGAAAAGCATTTGCAATGTTCAGATACATGTTAGATCCTTGGTGCCCTTTCTCAAGCTTCTGTTTCAAGGGAAAATAAGGACTTTCTTTGCTGAGTGGTTCTTTTGTTGCTATTCTTGGACTTGGAATGGAAAGTAGAGATTTCTCTTTAGTGTAATGAAATGGGAAGTATCCAGAAGGTCATGGGAGAAAATAGTGGAAATTCTCTTTTGCTCTCAGATGATACATTCCTCTGAGAGGCAAAGACACTTGGAGTCCAGGCTTAAAATAAGGAGTACCATGGGGAATGGACATAATTCCTTCTGTTTCACTGTACTCTGTTTATCCGTGTCAGTACTAAGTAATTAAAAGGGATGATCCAGTACTTACACTGCCTTGTTCACCTAGATTGAGACTTCTAAAAATTGTCATTAAAGATATCACAAGTGGTAGTTTATGCCCTTGTAGCATTTTTTTTTTTAGTTACTATGGATTTCTGGCCTGAAGTCCTATTCTTTTTAGAATTGACAACATCAGAACTTAACCTTTGACCTGCAATGTGGGTGCAGTTTAAAGCCACTCATTGGTCCCTCCAACCCCAGTAGCTTTTGAACCTCTCTACTTATCAGTTGATACTGTCAGCAGATTTTACAGCTCTAGCTTAAACCAGAAAGGCAGCTAACCCAACTTGCACTTCCTTTGTGGGTGTCCAGTTTTCTTACACCCAAATGTGTAATGAAAAGGGATTTCAATTTTGGGTAGTTGTTGGAAGTGGTTTAAGCCCCCTGCTGTTTTATAATCATTTTATCCTTCTACATTGACTTGTGAAGTTTTAGTGGAGTCTAGAACATCACACCCTTATAAGGCAACATGGAAATATGTTCTGCCCTTTGGCTTTTCCTGGCTTGTTTAGAACACCAAGATCTGAGATGAATAGGACCTCCGGGGGGGATCTCGGCCCACTTTCTCCCAGGGAAGTACTCTGATAGAGCATGCCTGACATAAAATGGTCTTCAAGCCTCTGCTTGTTTATGTGGAAGGACCCAGAGGGCCTCACCTTGGAAAGCAGCCTGGTGCACTGCAGCTCTAAGTAAGTTCTCACTGAGAGCAAACCCAGATCTTCTGCTGTACAGATTCTACCCATCTGAGCTGGATTTTCCCACTTTGAATAAGCCAAAATAATTTCTTTCTTCTGTGTCTGTATATTTAAAGACACCTTTGAAGTGCCCTTTGTGTTCCTTTCTGCCCACTCCCATTAAATACTTCTGGCTTTCTTACCCCTTGCTGCTAAGACTTTTCAGCATTCCAGTCACATCCCTGCTTTAGCCTGGTCAGAATTGTCTTTCTGAGAATATGGTAACCATCCTATTGAGGTGGGTTCTGATTTGATCATAGGGAGATGTAAGCTTCTCCTTTGGATTTGAGCCAGATGTGTAACCTGTGTATGTGTGTTATGGTTTCCATCTACAGTGTCCCCCAAGAGCCTCATGTTGAGAGGTGGGGCGCCTGGAGAGTTCTTGGATCTGGGGGCACTGTACTGATCAGGGATTAGTCCACTGTTGACTTCAGAGCTGAGGGTGCTGTTGGAAGGGGGCCCTGGCCAGGAGAGGCTGGTCGTTGAGGACATGGCAGAAGGGTGCATTCTTGTCCTTAGCTTCTCCCTTTTTCTCTCTGCTTCCTGGCTATGCATGAGGTGAGCAGCTTTCCTCCATCTGGCTCTTCCCCTATGCCGTTTCTGCCAACCCTTCCTCCTCTAAGCTGTGCACGTTGGGTGTTTTGTCCCAGCAGTGGGAAAGCTGACAGGTACCATGCTCATTATCTTCTGGCACTATTGTTGGTAGCTTTTCATGCTGAATGTCCATTAATGAAAAATTGTAGAAGCTTTGAGCCCATTTTTTTTGGTACTGGGGATCAAACTTAGGACCTTGTGCTTGTGAGGCAGACAGCAGAACCACTGAGCTACATCCCCGGCCTTTGAGCCCATTATTAGGTTCATTTAACCTGTTGTTAAGCAGCAGTGAAGTCCCTCCATTTGCTCATCCCAGTGAACTCCATGGCAATGCTTTTTTTTTTTTTTTTGATACTGGGGATTGAACTCTCATGGCAATACTTTTGAGTCCCTCTTTGTGTGATAGCTCTTCAAATTGTGATTCTCACCCAGCATTCCACCTCCACCCAACCCCTGATCTGCTGTATATACAGCAAAGGTATCTTTTAAAAAATACAAGATAATGCTGGGCTTCGGTGGCACATGTTTGTGATTCCAGCACTCCGAGGCTGAGGCAGGATGGTTGCAAGTTAGAGTTCAGTCTGAGCAACGTAGTATGTCTCAAAATTAAAAAAAAAGGGGGGGGGGCTGGGGATATAGCTCATTGTGAAGGACCCGGTTCAGTCTGCAGTATTGGAAAAAGACACAAGGTAAAGCCAAGTGGTATATATTTTATGCCATGATAAGGTGTTTCTCTCAAGCAGGGTCTGGCAAACTATGGTCCATGGGGAAGATTCACCTTGCTTCCTGTTTTGTACATAGTTTGGTTGGGACACAGCAGCAGCCATTCTTTTATACACTGTCTGGCTGCTTCGGTGGTACAGTGGCAGAGTCGAGGACATGTGGCTGCAGCCTCATATTTATTACCTAGCCTTTTATTGACCAAGTTAGCTTTCTCCCACTGTCTCGAAGAAAGCACCTGACTCACTAACATGCTTTAGGTTCTCGCAGCTGCTTTCTCTGTCGGCCTAAGCAGGCTATCCAGAACCCTTCCCATGGCTCATTAGCAGAGAAATTCTGGTTTTTTCCAAGTATTTTATGGGAGAAATGTGACTGTGTAATTTTGCGTATGAGATTGTAGAATCACATTCTGTGTCTGCTGTCTTTTATCTGATTTTAAATTGCTATTTGAAAGCTGTTCTCATTCTTATGACTTCACTGGTCTCTTTGAAACTGAGAAACTGTAATCACCCTAATTGGCTTTAGGGTCTCCATGGCAGTTGTAGATTTGGTAGCCAGTTGTCTCCAGGGAAGAAGAACTGTGTTTTGGCGTTAGAAAATGCCAGTAGCACTATTACCATTACATAATATTTCTGTGAAATTATAAAAGGAACTGAAAGATTCCACAGAGCATCCAATCTGTTTTGAGAAAAGGAAGAAAACATTCCTTGTTGCTCAACCATGTTACCTTACTGAAACATTTAGTGGCTGCTGCATTATTTTCTTAGAGTTGTTTAGATTCTGTTCCAAGGTTACAAAATCAGTCTTACCTGTGGAAGGAAAATTATAATGAAGTTTAAGCTTTAGGAGTATTTTCAGTTATACTTCTTCACATGAAGGACAAATACAGTGATTTGAAGTTGCCCATGTGTGATCTTTGGTCCTTTCTATAAGGAAAGTATTTGCTCCCCAGTGTGGAATTTTGGGCCTCTCATTTTAAAAGGCTTTCACATATCCATACTTTTGATGCATGCATCTAGCATTTTCTGAGTATTTTCTAGGTCCTTTTCTGATGACTAATGTCTCTAGCCTCCTATGTGATCCCCTCTGACTTCCATGCTCTGAAATTTCTGTTTTTGAAATTGCCTTTTTGGGAGGGGGTTATTACCTGTTATGATTTGCATCATAAATAACTCCCCAAAGGCCATGTGTCGCTGGCTTGGTCATCAGCCTGTAGAATTATGGGGGGGGAGTGGAACCTTAAAGGATTTGGGGTCTAGTGGAGGAAGGTAGGTCGTTGGGGTGTGTCTTTCAAGGGGCTGTTGGCACTCCTGTGTTTCTGTTGTTGTTCTCTTTCTGGCTGTCATGAGATGAGCTGCTTCCGCCACCGTTTGTTCCCTGCTGGGATGTCCTGTGCTGCCACAGGCCCAAAGCAAACAGAGCCAGGGACCATGGACTGAAACCTCTGACACTGTGAGCCAAAATAAATCTTTATTCCTTTTCAGTTGTTTATTCAGGTATTTTGTCACAGCAGCAGAAAGCTAATGCATGTCCTTTGCCATCTCTGAACACATCACTCATTACACTTCTCTTACCCAGTGCCCCATACATCTGTGGAGCCTGGCACCACTTCACATCCCACACCACGTGGTGCTGTTGTGTTTACAGCTTCTGGAAATTTTCTCACCCGGGATGAACACAGCCACCCACCTTCTCCTTTCTTTGCTGGAGAAAATCCAGGAACAAAGTGGATGCAAACTCCTCCTCAGCTCTGTCACTGAACCTTCAGCCCTGCTCTGGAATGTTCCTGTTTCCATACAGTGCCCCATTGGTCACGATTCTTTCATTGATACTCCCACCTCTTCACACTTCTTCCCATGCCCAAACCCTGTAAGTGACCCTGCCTTGTACTTCATGGAAAAATAACTATCTGTAGCAACTCCTTCAGCTTTTCTTCAAGCCTACAAACCCATTGGTATTGGCCCCTGTTAGAAGTGAAGGAACAATCTTTACACCTATGACAGGGCAGCTCTCTCTGCAAGATCAGTATGCCATCTCTTCCCATACAGAGACTTTGAGTCATCTTTCCATGGGGATTTAGACATGCTGTCATCCTGAGTACCAATATCGTATCTTAGAAACTAAACTAAAAACCAGAAAGAAGCAAGCCTTCCCCTTACCTTGTGTTCCCTTTCAGTAGTCCTCTTGTGTACTGTCCTTCAGGGTTGTTCTTTGAAGAAAGGCTGTCCCCCTGAATGTTCTCATCTTTACATTATAAATTGCCTCCAGGCTGGTGGCTCGTCCCTCACCTTGCCATGGATGTTGCTGAGGTCTCATCCTTTTTCGACTTTTCTAAATGTGACACAGCTAAACCCCTTTCTTCAGTCATCCAGCACCTGGTGGCTTCTTCCAAGTTTCTGTTGCCATCTTTTATCTTCCTTATCGTTACCTGGGTGCTTGGTCTGGGACCCTTTTTATTTTCCATCCTGCCTATCTACTTCTGTGACTTCAAATGGCATCTACTTGTTAATGACTGGCAAATTTGTATCGGTGATCTGAACTTCTGTTCTAGGTTGTGGACCTCTGTCTACACATTTTAATCTTTTGGATGTTTCTTACAATCTCAAATTTGACCGTAGCTATTGGTATGTTCTTCTAGCTGCTTTTCTTAAAGATATTACTATTCCAATAAATAGTATTTGTGGTACATCAGTTCACAACTGTAATTCTTTGCATGATTCTGGTCGCAAACCAGATTGGATGAGAATCAAATTCAATGGTTAGGTTCCATGTTGACCTTATGGGGAAATTTGATTTGGTTCTTGTCCAGTTCAGATTGAGACCAGCATTATGGAAAGAATGAAGCTCTTGAACTGCTGTGATAATATCTGCGATAAACTTAAAGAAAGATTTATTTTGGCTCAGAATTTTAGAGTTTTCATCTGTGGCTGGTTAGCTCTGTTGCTTCTGGGCCAATGGTAATGCAGGGCAGCATGCCAGGGAGCTTCGGTGAAGAAAAGCTGCTTACCTCATGGGGGCCAGGAAGAAAAAAGACAAGGGGTCAGAGTCCCAGTGTCCCCTTCAAGGGCATGGCCCCAGTGATTAACTTCTTTCCACCAGGCTCTACCTCCTAAAGGCTCCACTGCATCTGAACAGTGCCACAGCTGGAGATCAAGCCTTTTGCAAATGGGCTTTGGTGGTGGGCGGATAGAATTTAAGATCTAAACCCTAGCAGTATTCTTACGTAGTCAGTTGCTCATGCAGAAATCTGGGAGCAATGCCAGAAATCTCCACTCTTTCCACATCCAGTCCATTACCCATTGCTTGGATCCCACCCACAACAGTATTATTCCAAATCTGTCACTATTTCTGTTGTCACCTTCATCCAAGCCACTGCCAGTCCCCCTGCCTTTACCACTCTGGAAGTCTCTTTAATGAGAATTTCTTCTTCGTGTTTCCTGTACCTTAGTCTCCTGTGTTTCTCAGAGCAGATAACAGTCATCTATAAAAAAATCTATGTATTATATTGTGTCAATTCCCTGCTTAAAACACTTGGGTGACTTTGCAGTGAACCCAAAATAAAATGTTAGCCCTTTCTCCAGTCTGCACAGCTTGACATGCCCTGGTCCTCCTCCACTATGCATCCTTTTCAGTTAATTTCATTGTTTGCCATGCCCCAGCCATGCTGGCACTTGACCTTTGCAAAAATATGCAAACTTCTCACCATACTCCTTTGCCTTGCTGGTTTTGGTTTGGAAGTGGTTTCCCTTGTGTTTTGCACTCTAAATTTCTTGTCATCTTTCACCCCTTAGCTTCCCTCCTCTGAAGTTCAAACTGAGTGCATTTCTCCTCATATTTCCTCTGATGAAGCCCTTGGTGTATCCTTGCTTTTACTCCCTGGAAGGCGTTACTGGAATTTGCAGTTATATATCTTATGCTTTCATGAGTCCATTGAATGGCTCCAGTATGACAGAGTAAGTTCCATGAGGGCAGGAATTGGGCTTGTTTTCTTCATTCTTTTTTTTTGGTACTGGGGATCGAATTCAGGACCTTGCTTTTGCACTTGCGAGGCAGGCAGCGGAACCACTGAGCTAAATCCCTGGCTTGTTTCCTTCATTCTTGTTTCCTGTCACTTATTTCATAACGTTGTTTATTCTGAGGGCGAGTTGTACTGCGCCAGCACCCATTTGGTACTTCTGTTGCAGTGTTGAGTGGTACTTCACCTTGGGCTCAGATTTGCATGATTTTGAATTTTCGTTTTGTGACAGTGAGCAGTTATTATCCCTGGTCCCCCAGCATGTGATGCTGAGTGAACCAGAAAATGTACGATCAGGAGGTTTATTCAGTAAGAATAGTAGGCTAGGGCCTTTGCCTTAGGGGGGGCAGTGCTGCGGGATGGGTCAGGACCAGGGTGTCCCTGGAAGGAGGTGGGATCCACTGGGGATGGACCACGTAGGCCCTGTAAGCATCGGGAGGACCTTGGAGTTTTCCAATAGGTAAAAAAGGTTGCCACTTAGCTGGTAGGAGGCGGAGACCGACCTTGTCTACCTTCGGCCAGATGTACAGGAATGAATGGCATGCATTTGGTATGCTAGTATTCCCCAATTTTCGTATTTTTTTTTTCCCCACTTAAAAACCTGAGCTATACTTGACTCAGGTGCAAGGCCATGGGTTCCATCTCCACCATAAAAAAAAAAAAAAGAAACCCCCCACAAAAACCTCTATATCTTTGCAGTCAGTGCAAGCATTTTTCCACTGATGGACTGAGGCATAGGTGGTTAATCAAACCTATAAGAGTCCATGTGTAGAATTCAGAGTCTGTAAACCTGGATGGGAAAACTATAACTGTAATTAAAACAAAGTGACTGATTAAAAAAAAAAGAATAGTAGGCTAGATTCAGATGGAGAAACTTCCAAAATAATACAAGTACAGTACTTATGCAAGTGTGCCATAATTTGAGACAGTGTGTAAGTTGGAGCACCTTGAAAATACATGGGAGAATGTCTCAGATCTGCTTTTCCAAATGGAACCTAAGCGTTCGTATTATTTGGGTGGTCAATAAGAGGTTGAACCCAGAACCTTCCCACTGAGCTATATCCCCAGCTCTTTTGAGTTATTTTTAAAGACAGTCTTAGTGCAAAGGTTGGGTTCAAACTTGCAGTCTTCCTGACTCAGCCTCACAGAGTGTTGGGATTACAGGCCTGCCCTACCAGGCCTAGATTCTGCTCTATTCTTTTGTAATACTGCAGATTGGGTTTGCCATTCTGTTGGTCACAAGGTCTAAAATGCAGAGAGGAGCAACCAGAGATACCTTGGCCCTGGCTACTTGTTGGTCATATTATTTCCTTTAGGTCTCTGTTGCCCCAGCTCTGTTGTACCTAATGAACAAATTTTCTGGGAGTAGAACCTGGGAGCTGGTGTGGGGTACAAAGGCCAAACTCTGGGTGTCTTCACTGTGGGCATAGTCACTCACATTGAGTGTTCAGTGCCTTACAGTGGGAGTGGTCTCTTTGGAAGAAATCCTTATGTAAGGAAACACTGTGAAAGAGGTGTGGGGTAAATTCAGAATCCTTTCCTCTGGGCTGGGGATGTAGCTCAGTGGTGAACTGAGCTTGTGGAAACTCTGCGTCCAACCTCCAGCATGTTCCTTTGCTGGTGACTTTATTTTTTCTGTAATTTTAAGCTTGGGTTTTATTTTTAGGGGAGTGTTTGTATAAAGGTGAATGGCATATAGTCTTGGGTAGTGTTTTGAGGTGTCTCCTTCCTCCACTTTGGGATATTTCCAGTCTCTTTGGAAACGGAGACTGAAAAAACCCCTACTCTGCAGCATATTGTTACAAGCATGCTCTCTGTCGGTAAATGTTCCCCTTTATTTGCATGTTCAGCATCTTGTGGCTTAGAACAAGAAGCCCCAAGTCTGCCAGCACAAGAAATAAACGTGATAGTGGTTGGAGTTTGCATGTGGATCCTTTCTTGTCCACCTCCCAGTGGGATGTTTGCCAGCACACCCTGCCAGAGTCTCCAGGGCCTCTCGGCACTACTGTGCCTTAAATCCTTACAACAAATTTCCAGCAATGAGGGTCAAGCTGGTTGCATTGAAAAGGGTGACCATCATCCTAGCCTTTTCCTTAATGTAGTCTGATTCCCAATGAAGGAATTTATTTGAATTTTAAATTTCTGAGGAGTAGGACGAAAAAGATATCTGCAACAGAAGTGTTCTGTTAATGAATGGGATAGACCCTTCCTTGTTCAAAGACAGTCCTCTTGCATTGCACTGAAGAGGCTGGAGCTAAGTTGCGTTTCCCTGGCCAGTTGCCCGATGGCCTCTCCCTCAAAAATATTTATGGAGTTCTAGTGCTTTAGTAACTGGAAAGTGATTTAATTGTTGCATTGGCAGGGTGAGAGAAGGCAGTTAAATGTGTTGTTCATTTTATTTCTGGGTGGGGTGTAAGAGGGAAATGCAATACAAATTTTTTCCTTTCTGGAAAACTAATGCTGTGTTCTTTTGTTATCGTTTGGTTCTCTAGGCATTAAGTGTAACCGAAACCCTGATTAAGCCCTTGGAAAAATTCAGAAAAGAGCAACTTGGAGCTGTAAAGGTTTGTGTCTAATTTGGGTACACTTATAAACAGAGTTGATGCGCTGCTGCTTCATTGTCTGCTTTATTCACATTTGGCAGCTTCAAGAGAGACGCTGGAGTAAACCATCTGCTGTTCTATGTTTTGAATGTGCTTTTTCCCCTTTGGGGAGATGAAATTGAAAACAAAACAAAAACACCTGGACAGAGTGGTAAAACCTCTAGTCATCTTGTTTGGCTACACTTTTCCATATAGTTTAGGAAATATCCGTAACCAAACAGCACATTTCCTCTGAATGGAATGATCTTATCACGCTGGGGAGTGCAGTTACTTCTCTGGATGCCTCTGTTTTATAGAGGAAGGTAGCAGTAAAATAGGGTCTTCAGACAAGAAACGTTGCTCTACCATGATGCCGTTACAACTAGGAAGAGAATATTGAGTTACTGAGATGTAATTTCCTTCCATTTACCAATGATTTATTAAGCTTCCATGATGTGCCAGTATTTCTGTAGAACTGTATATTGTATTGTGCTAGGCATTCATAGGTGACTGATCTTGGATATAGCCAGGATTTCCGAGCTTGACCCAGTGACTTTGCCACAAGGGGCCTGGAATATATTTAGCAACTTCTAAGGTTTGTGGTCTGAGCTTGGCAGTTAGCCATTCCAGAGAAATAATTGCCACCATTCTCTCCTGGGTTTTCTGTATGTACGTGAGGGAGAAAAAAAAAACATTTGTGTGTTATTGACCCTATTTGGCTTGGCCCACAGAAAAGATGCTAACATCAGTCTTAGGTAAGAGTTTTTATATTTGTAATACTTCTGTCCTGTAGCTGGGGATGTGAGGATTTAAAAAAATTTTTTCCTAAAGAAAAAAAAAATGATTAAAATTCCTTCATATAAATAATCATGGTAGCCTCAGTAGCTGGAACTATGACACATGACCCCAAAACATTTGCTATTTACAAACTCTATTTTCCTCTAAGTGACTTGCTAAACTGTGTTTAGCATTTCTGTTTGGCACAAAATTTTATTTTATTTTTTTGGCATGGGGTGGGGGGATTGAACTCTGACCTTGTGCTTGTTGAGGCAGGTGTGGTGCCACTGAGCTAAATCCCCAGTTCAGAATTTTACAGTTTTAAATGAAGGACTGTGAATTGAGGTTCAGGCCATGGAGGCCAAGAGTGATCAGCCCCCGACGCTTGATGTTTGCTGAGCCACATGCAGTCCATTTGCTCCGGGCTGCGCAGCAGGAGATTGGAGGGCGCATTTCACCTGTGCCACCTTGGGCAGAGAACTCCCTCTGCCAGATGAAGGATTTAGAGATCTGACAGTTGTTTTGTAGTTGGATGGTCCTGTTTTCTCTCACTACGACTCTCTCCTTAGGCTGTAAGAAGCTTGAATGTATTGGCTCTTTTACCATTTCATTGGTAGGCACTAGATGTACACAAGGACCATTTCTTGTTCAATTCAGTGATGATAGGAGAGGGCAAAGATGGTATTATGAAGATAAAAACAAGGACAGTTAAAAACATATATGTATA